TCATAGAATGCGACTGAAGGCGTTCTCTCAGTTCGGTTATCACAGATCTGACCTGAAAATATCTTTGCCGAAAAAATGCAACCAAATAAGAGAACTTCAATATGAAAATAAGTACATAACGGCAGAAACCAAACATACTAAAAAAATTGAGCATCAAGATATCAAGCATCCGAATATACAAGTACTTCAAGTTAGAGAACTCCAAAATCAAAGGAACTTGATCTAGTAGGCCTTAGATTGTTTGGATAAATTCAATAGTTAAGATAAATTCACTTATTAGCATATTTATGAGGAAAAGAAGCTCGTACCGATGTCAATTTAGAGTACTCTCCTTCTGAAAGTGATTCCACAGATGCAGTTCCCAAGAGATATAGCTGTAATACACAATATAAACTTAATGAGCTGTCAATTATTCTTAAGGCCTCATGAATAATGATTCTACTGAAAAAAAAACATCAAAGATAGCTACAATTAGCATTTCCAATCTTGGCAAAGTCAAGTAGATTAAGTACTATCGTATTCCTATAGCTTATCACGTTTATATATTAGTAATAATATCTACCTCTCCAAATGGAACGTAAGAGGGTAGATATGGAACCCTGAACCCATTAGGCGAATTGTTCTTTCCTTCACTTCTTCCACTAACTGTTTGTGCATTACCAGTATCTGGCAATGGCTTGAGAGATATACCATCCTTACCCTCTTCTATTTCAAGAGATTGTGGTTCAATAACCACATCCCCAATAGGAGCTGACACTGCGGATTCATTTGCAGTAGACGTCTCTCCAGGATCCTCTTTCTTTCCTATGTACCTATCCAGTTGTTTCTTAACAGCCTCTAGGGGGACAAGTTTTGAAAGCCTCCAGAATGAGTTCTGAACAGGGCCAACACCAATGACTAACTGCTCGTGCTCCTTATTTTTTCTCTTTTCTGCCTCTGATGATACGCCCTGGCCATTTGTGGCTTCAGTCTCTCCAGCCATTGACATTCTTTGTTCATTGTAATGATGAAAATATGCAGGAGATAATATCCTCGGGACCAAATCTTCAGGTATACAGTAGCTTTTGAAATAATGATGCCACCCTTTTTCATGAACATAACTGCAAAAAAACAAAACCAAGCAAGGGAAACATTATGAGAATGCTCTTGCTAATCCCAGTCGTATGTTTAACTAGTGCTCCAAAAACATACTCTCTCAAAGCAGCATTTCCAACAGGGGGCTGGGAAAAGGTTATACATTTGACATGAATATTTTCATTTTCTTTCTTTGAAGAGGCAGCAACAACCCTCAATATAGCAAGTGTAGCTAAGGCAGCTACCTAGATATATTGAAACTCGGAGTCAACAAAGAGACCGATGTAGACAATGAGCTACGAAGGTAAGAAAATCTAAAGCAATCAGACTTACAGCTCCACCAAGTGAGTGTCCACATAATACAAGTTTTCGTTTCTTTTTCTGAGCAAGCCTATACAGTTCCAGAGCAGGTATCCCCTTAGCACGAGCCAAGAATCCCTAGTTGTTAAAATTTAAGGGGATAAATATTTAGATAACAAGAACTTATTCTTGCACAAAATCACAGTGCGCTGAAGAAACAAAACAAAAAAGAAAAAAGTCTACTTCAACATGCCACAAGCATACCCGATGAGCAGCAGGTTTAGGCTTCTGTCTAAGTTGCTTAGGATTCCGCAAACCCTCTCCATTTTTCTTAAGTGGTTCACTTTGAATAGGTTCAGATGCTGCGATACATTCATCCTCTGCGACATCATCGTGAAAAATGTGACCTTGAAGTATATTTGCATCGGCCATGATGTCCCTACAACACACCCACGAATGGTAACTCACACCTTTTTACATCTGACCTAATTTGTTTTCCATGGAATAAAAAACTCCAAGACTTACTTATATTGCCTAGTTCCAACAAAGGATGCAAATAATGTATCACCTGCCTCAGCAAGTAGATACCTGCATTAAGATAGTTTCCTTTGAGTTAATTTCCATAAAAATGAAACCAAGTTTGAGCATTAAGAAACTGGGACACAGATGCAGCATTATAAAAATCGAGAAATAAACACAAATATGTTTGTAGAGAAGAAACCAAAGAGCGGAAAAAACATTTAAAGGAAGTTCAAGAATCTTTCCAACTGCGAACCTGTGAGGAACGTGATCTGATGAAGGTTGAACTCTCTCCAGCGAAATAAATTGGCCACCGAAGTCTGCTTTAAATTTGTTAACAGCTCGAACCATCTCACTTGCAGGTCTCTATCAGAATACAACCTCCATTAAAATAACAAAGCGTAAACAGAGCTTCTTTAAATTTATCTACCTAAATCTCATCACAAAGTTACATTTTAAGTAACAATTCGAATAAAGAGAACAAAAGGAGATATGAAACAGTACACACATATATATGAACTGATTACACCAAAACCAACCTTGTAACTAACTAACTAACAGAACCTTTTAGTTAATCAGCGATGTTACCTAATTAATTAATTGTTCCCTCTAATTCAACGAGACTAAATTGATTAACATTATATTAAAGGGTAATGAAAGAATTAATCACCTTGTAAACACACTCGGAGAGTACCATGCAGCATAGTATGTCTTGTAAATCTTCGACAGACTCGGATTTAAGGGCCAGACAGAGATCCTCAATTTGCTTTTTGCGCTTCTCATATTCCCGACGGATCTTAATCCTCTGATCGGCATCTCCTCCGTTCCATGGAGGCCACCGGAATCTCCATTGAATCGGTCCCCACGAAACCCGTAAGAACCTTGCCCTCTGATCTCTGATCCACGATTCCACTCGGCTCTGTATCGACTCCATTACTAACCTCTGGTCAATCCCCGCCTGTTAAGACCGCAATTACCTTCGAGCATTTGAGTTTTGAGTTTTGAAACCGCGTCGAAATTTGAAAATGGGAATATTCTGGGTGAGATTTGAGAAGATGATAGAATTAAGGAAGCGCTTTAAAAGAGAGTAATTATGTTAATACGAACGAAGCAGTGGGATGAGAAAGAGAGATTTTGAGCATCAAAACGCATATGCGCCTCCTCCAAAATCTTGGGTCTTGTTACTGATATAACTATTAGGCTTTAGGCCCATATTATTGTAGACATGGTCTCTTTTAAGATTTCATGCTCATAATTGTGATATGAGATTTGGCATCAGCAAGACTTTTTTTTTTTTTTTTTTTTCGTCTGAATGATTCCAATATATTATACGAGGGTAGAATACAGTTTTGAAATACAAGACCGACAAGAGTCGAAACTCTTTCGGAAACTAAGCCGACGGAAGACATAAATATCACCGGGAAACTAAACCCAAAAGAGGGAAGCAAACTATAAACCAAACGGTACAAGAAGGTAAACTCAAAAGGAACCCAAGAACTAAATCTGAGACTCGAAACCATCATAACCTGCAAACAATCCCAGAGAAACGGTTGGCGTCGGAGTTGAAACCAAGAAACATGAGCCTCAAGAAGAACCAACCAAACAGGCAAACTCCAATAGACCGGAGATCCCGAAGAAGAACGAATCTGAAAGTTCAACCAGCAACAATCCGACAGAACAGAGAGCGAGATCAATCTGAAAAATGAGCACAACAACAAACACCATCATGCCATCTCCACCATGGAAATGAGCTCGAGCGAAACAGGCACAAAGAACCTTTGAAAAACGGCTGGGGATAAGTCAAAGAGGAGCACCAACTCTTACACGCGGACAAAGCGAACCAATCAAAGCCACCTACAAACCTGAACCGGTCACGACCTCGCAAGAGAAGAACTAGTGAACGAAACCACTGCTGTGCTTAGAACCCAACAACGAAAACCGAAGACGGCTTCATAAAAGACCTAGTAGATGCACCTGCAACGATGTACCATCCGAGAGACAAACCCCAAACACGAACCTAGCCCACCAGAACCCACACACAAACGAGAGAAAGCAAACGGCGAAGAAGAACTAGGAACCCAAAGCAGAGAGTTAAAGCAAGCAAAGCACTAATCCGGAAAGCACAGCAAAGCCATACAATAAGCCGTAGAGTTAGAACCCAAAAAAAGCAAAACTTAATCTCTGCCCAAGCCTAAAGCACCAACTAAACCTTCAACACAAACTACAAGATCTAAACCAAACACAACCAACGAAGAGCCAAAGAAAAAAGAAGCATGAGAGACAAGAGGAGAATTGGGTCACCGAGAAAACAGAGCCGTTGTTCAGCTCAGAAGAAGCCATAGATGCTCCAAACACAATGAAGCAAGTGGTCTGGGACAAGAAGAGGCACCACACATAGATGCGATAGTGAGAACGACGACTCTATCATCACCATCGATCAAAAGCCCTTTCGATTCCAGTCTCCTAGAACCAAACTCCATCAGATCTGAGATTCAACAATAATCCAAACCAACTCGCCAAAACTACCACGCTTCCAAGGCCGAAGAAATCAAAGACAATGAATGAAAGGCATCAGCAAGACTTTATTCCATTGTTTGTTTCGTTGTAGTTAATGATTCATTTATGTTCTGATTTAGCAAACATAATTCGACGAAAATTTTGGAATAGTAGTGACCAAATAATTTAAGAGTTGACAATTTGAACGTTCATTGGTACATTCAGTGGCAAGTTTAGCTCGCTAATACTATTATACACGGAACAGTAATTTTTAGTTTTTTTCTTAGCAATATTTTTCTAACCAAGGACGAAAATTTCGTTGTGAAAAAAGAACGTTGTCAACACAGTTTTGAACCACCAGCAACAAAACGAATACTTCTTTATCACTTATGGGTGGACAACAGCAAATGGAACAAACACTAACTTTTTGTTCCAAGCTTCAAGATAAATATCACCAAATGAAATGAAGAAACACAGGAATACGGTAGTAATCAAAATTTCTGGTGTTTGTTTGGTTTGTCAATTGGCTTTTTTCTTTTTTTTTTTTTTTTTCAAATACATGTCGATCAATTAGATTTCAAAATTGAAGGACAAAAAAAAAAAAAAAACCCTTAAGAAAATATCTCTATGATTAATGAAAATAGTACACAGTGGATGGCACACAGATATTTTAAGCAGATAAGATGAGCTCATGATAGTAATGGTCCATACAAATACAATCCAATAACTCTAAATAATGTGGTGAAACGAAGTAAATGGCCCTAAGACTAAAACAGTAAAAAGTATGGGGCTCCATTATTATTGTTCGAACAAAAAAAAAGAAATAGAGAGAGAGACTCAAGAAGTGAAGAGAGATGAGAGAGAGAGATTACATTCAGAAAATAAAAATAGAACCCAACAAAACCAAAATTACCAAATTGACCCCAAAATTTACGTTGGTCGTCAAAGACCCCGCGTTCCCTGGACCTCCCGCCGCTTGCCCTGGGGTAGTGGAGCCACCGGTGGTCGGCGTCGGAGCAGAGCCCGGTGCGTCGGCGGTAAATCTCAGGACGCGGTGGGCGCCCAAATTAGCAGGAGTGAACGGATGTATTCCGGGACGACCGCTGGTCACATTCCCGCCGATCTGCCACACCTGATTCACACTATCGGCTCCCGCCGGGACCTTAACCGTGGTGAAAATCGCGATCCTGCCGCCGCTCAACGACTCGGCGCGTAGATTCCAGAACTCGAAAGAAAGTCTCGTAGCGGTTTCGTCGAGACTGTAGCCGCTTATGTTGTACGTCTTGACGACGGGAGCAGCACCGCCGTTAGATCTGTAAGCGAGGAAGGCCTGAGAACCGGCCATCTTAGTCCCCGTAGGATTGATAGCCCAAGCGACCCAGCCATTGTTGGTTTGAGATGGAGTGGCGACGAAAGCAACCGAGAGAGACGAGTTTGAGGAATCGTATGTGTAATGGAGGTAGGAATTGAGTACGGGAAGGTCCAGGCAACTATCGTACGGACCAGCGGAGTTTAGGTTCTGCGTAGAGCAAGTCTGTTGTGAAATCGCCGGTGAGATTAGCGAGACGAAACAAGCAGCGGCTAGGATTAACAGAGAAGAGGAAGCCATTGCTGAGAGTTCTGGTGTTGTGTGGTGTTTGATAAGAAGATATTAAGACACATGGACATGAGATGTTTATATAGACGGAAGGCCCTCAAGATATGGAGATTGATTCACTGCATTGTTTCTATGATGAGAGAATCAGGAGAGGCCGTTGGATGATGCCACGTGTTGAGTTGACCACTAACAATGGAAAAGTCACGTTCACGATGTGAATTGGCTTGTTATAATTAAAGTCGGAGGCGATTCAATAGGTAAGGAGGAATTTGGGTAGAGCATGTGGAGAGTGCGTGTTCTTTTGGAAGTTGACTGCAACTGGCGTCTCTCATATTTCACCACATACTTGGATAGAAATCTTATGCTATTTGATTTTGTTAATGGTTTTATTTAGAATAAAATCCTTTTTATTATTTATTAAGAATTATACAAATATATTTACACAATATAGACGACTTTTTTTTTGTGTATATTGTCACCAGTCAAATGGGTTGAAATTTATTTTCGTTTACATGCATGACTTTTTTCATTGTAGCTTCGTTGGAAAAGCCCTTCGTTTAAAATTCGTTTTTTTTTTTTTGTGATAGAGAGATCTGTATAATTGATAAGTGTTAGTTTTGAAAATGAGGATTTTGTGTATGAAATTCATAGAGGTGGGCAATGTGAGGAAAGAAATTGAGATCGATAATTTTCCAAATAATACAAATTTTGTTAGTTACAGCTTACATTCAATTTCGAATTTGAAAAGGAATGTCTAGGGACGAAATTTTTGATTTTTTCCAAACGACACAATGTCAATAACGTTGAACAATGGCGGGTAATATCGGAATTTTCCTTAGGTCATTTCATGAAATGAGAATTGGTAATAAGCCAAATTTCATTTCTTTTATGTTATTTCTTTTTTCCTTTAATTTCCTAGTTGTTGGGCAACTTTGAATAAATACCAATGCCCGTCTACCTCAATTAGTATTTTTTTCATTTTCTTTTTCATTTTTCTTTTTATTTCATAATATTCTAGAATCGTTTTATTATTAACTAGGCATATAGAGAGACCCACAATAACAAAATGTCAACACCAAATTTCTGTAAAATGTTCCCGCAATTCTCTCTACTTAATAAATATATATCTCTAGGTGAAAAGTCGAAGTTCTTTCGTCCATTAGAAAAACGGAAATGGTCCTCTCTTTTTCTCCGAATTTTCATGAGAGATGTAGCCGAGAGATGGAGGAAGAAGACATAAAAAGGCTGCTTACATAAGCATTATTGCATACGTGACGTTTTAATACAGCCCCTATGTGTTAGAAGTTCACGTGGTCTGTAGAAAAATATATTATTGTCCTCCTATTTTTAGTATCTATCCTGATTTTTTGTATATACCATCCAAGGAGCTATAAAACTAAAGCTTATAGTATTTTTTTGCTTAGATATTTAAATATTTGGTTCTTATCGAATCATGTGATTTAAAATTATTAATGCTTCGGATAGTCTCTGAACTAAATATCTCGCTCTACGTTAACATCTGATTAAAATAAAAAATAAAACATAAAAATAAACAAAATAAAAAGTCTTTATATACGAAGATTATGTATTGGAGCTTTGATAAATTTGGAACAAATATCTGTCTAGATTCGATAAATTTGGTCTTGGAAATTAAATGATCAGTATTTTTGTCAACGATTGTGTGTCTCGAATCTCGATTTTTCATTTATTGGAATATGTTTTATCTGTTTTTTATTACTATTATTAAACCGCAAGTCTTGTATACATCAGACTTTTGAAAACGTTGAGTGTGAACATCTTCATTTATACATATAAAAAAACTACTATTGAAACTACTATTTATTATATACATATCACATATGAAACTAGAAAGAAACATAGTGAACTAGTGATCACTATAAATTTAATAAGCATATAGAAACATAAGTACAATCACAAATACATAAAAGAAGTAAATAAAAGTATTCACCACGAGTCTCACCAAAAGAGACCTAAAGACGTCATATAAAGATAGCATCCATAGATTTGGGAAGAAGGTTGGGTGAAAAAGGGTTAGACGAAATTGCACACGCTTTTGTCCTTAACTTTATTGTACGAACGTCATTAGTCTCTAATCATACCTACCCACTCTTTTTTGTGCGCGAGGTCGTTATTTTTATAATTCCATGTATATTGGATTTTCTTTTCCCTTTAATCTAAACCGGTAAACTCTTCAGTTTGTAAACGTGATAGGCTTTGGGCCCATAATTGCGTTGGCCCTCTCATTTCCAAACAATCTGGTACCATCACAGTAATTCTTATTAGCTCACCACAAATGTATCGATTCATACTCAAATAGTTATCTGGTTTTGTTTAAATCGCAGGGAAATTCTTAGTGGTTGAATAGTTTCTTCGTCCTTGTAAGTACTTTATTACGACTCGTCGCAATTCTCTGATAATATGTTACAGTACTCGTGGTTTTTTAGGGAAATTTCTATTTGGTTAACTCGATCATGAGCTGTGTAGGAAACATGGCGGTTCCATTGATGACCAAGAAGATCGTGAAGAAATGTGTTCATGACTCATGAGTTTATTAGACCTCGGAGTGACAGGAGAATCACTGTCAAGGTTCGTTCTGGTTTGATCATGTATATTGCTTACTTCGGAATATTGTATTTATCAACTTAGATTGTTTTAGAAGCAATCAAATCAATAGAAAAATATCGGAATTAGTGTTCCTGAAATATTTCACTCAGCTATACTATACACACTGTCTTACGAATCAAAATCTGAGTCACATACATACACAGATGTAAAAATCATTCAATACTACAAGAAATCTGGAGGAGACCAAAGGGTATTGATTCACGTGTAAGAAGAGAGTACAAAGGATGTGCATTGGATATGGATCAGACAAGAAAATCCGTTACTATCTTCCAAATGGTTTCAAGCTGCTTATGATGCATAATCGGTATGTATAACCAAACCACTCATTATCTCCTTTATTAACTCTTGTATTAAAAAATTGTTTGCTTGACAATGATCTTGGAACTGGTTTATAGGACATACTGTGGCGAGATTGCGCACAATGTATCGACAAAGAAGAGGAAGGAGATTGTTGAGCGTGCATCTCAATTGGGTGTTGTTATTACCAACAGATTGGCTAGGTTGCGAAGCCATGAGGACGACGAGCAGAGAGATTAAAAAAGATTCTTTTATGCCTTTAAATGTTTCTTATTGAAGATTTTGTCTTGGGATTAGCATCATGCGTTAAATCTTGAGATTTATGGTGACAAATGTTTGAAACTAGTCAATCATTTGTTTATCATCTACTTTAAATTGCCAAGTGTTTAAAAGCGATAGAAGCATCCAATTTCAATTAAAAAGATAATTATATTTTTGTTGACCAAATTAAAAAAAAAGATATTAATATTATTTGACTGCATTTATTTTTCTACAACTTGGTTAAAATAGATTAATAAGATTCGCACTAGTTGGAAGATATTTTTAAATAATTTATTACAATGACCCATTGATCGGTTTATGGAATAAAAAGATAACCCAATGAAACATTAACATTAAGATCCAGATTATGTTCCATAACCGATTCCATAAACATTATCGGGCTGACCAGGTAAAGAGTCTAATCTCCTCCTTCCATAACCGATTTTTTTTAAAAAAAATTAATAACCTTTGCTTACTTCTCTCTCCTTCATCGAGAAATTTCGCGGCTTCTTCTCATCCGAAACAATCCGGGACATTCTACGGACGCGCCGTCGCAGAAGTTACAGAGGAGTGTTGGAAACTATAAAGACTCGTTCGTTTTGGATTGCTGTCGATGGTTACAGGCGTGGCTTCCCCCATGGCGGAGCGGTTAAAGGAAGAAGGAAACAATTGCTTTAAGAAAGAACGTTTTGGTGCTGCCATTGATGCTTATACCGAGGTACATGGTTCTCAATTTCATCGTTAGGGTTTTGTTTTTCTGGGCATATCCCTAAAGTTTTTATTGAGATCTGTATGGAGTAATAAACCCTTGATTAGAATTTCGAAATTGGATGATTCGTTTGTTAATCAGAACTTAATTTCATCAAAATTAGGTTTAGATGGAGTGTCTTCGAGAATATACAATTGGTGAGAATGTTTGCTGTTGGAAATTAGGAATCTTGTGCTCATCGATATAAGTTATCAGTTTGCAGAGGTGTTGTTACTGTCATCGAGAAGCTTCAATGACTTAATTCATTTTTTATGATTTTCTTATCATCTTTGTGTAATTTAATAGGCAATAGCCTTGTCTCCAAATGTTCCTGCTTATTGGACAAATCGAGCACTTTGCCACATGAAACGAAAGTACGTATGTTCTGTCAAGCAAATTTATTTAGGCAATTCTTATGCCCCAAACTTTATGGTTTATCTTTGTTGTTTATGTTTGGCTTGTTTGCTTGTGGGTGGCTTGTATCAAATTCAGGGATTGGACTAAGGTTGAAGAGGATTGTCGCAAAGCTATTCAGCTTGTCCACAATTCCGTCAAGGTGTGATTCTCTTGGTTATATCTAAATGGAATTCTTTTGTTTGGTGTGCTATATATGGGATCTATCAAGTTTTGTTTTGTTTTGTTTTGTTTTGGTCTCCTTTTCTTGGAATTCTTTGATCCTTTCTTCTCCTTCATATGGGGATATTACACTTATGTTCTGTGGCAGGCCCACTACATGCTAGGACTTGCATTATTGCAGAAGAAAGAATATACTGATGGAGTCAAAGAGTTGCAAAGGGTATGGATCCTTGCTTATCCTAAGCTTTTTCCTGTAAAATTTATTAATGGACATGATTGTTTAAGTCGTAACATCGAGACCTAAGTAGTGTAGTTTCCAAGCATCTTAAAGAAGATGTAAGGTACCACTTGATTCTCCATCGTTTTCCTTTGAAAGTTGTTTAAGTGGATACTATGGTCACTGGTTTTAGTTAGAAAATTCACTAGTTGTTGGTATGCCTGTTTCCCACTAAGTTCATGTGGCTACGTTTCATATAGGCTTTAGATCTTGGAAGAAGCTCGAATCCAACAGGATATATGGTTGAAGAAATATGGGAAGAGCTTTCTAAAGCAAAATACATGGAGTGGGAACTGGTTTCTGCAAGGCGCTCATGGGAACTGAGTAGTTTGAAGTAGGTTCTGTAACTTTCTTAATCCGTTTGCTATCATTCGACTTGGAACTATGCTTCAGTGTGGCTTTATGGAACTATTTATGTTTGTGTTAGGGAAACTTGTGAGGCTGCTCTTAATCAACAATGTGCTTTAGATATGTCTCGAACAGAAGAGTCCTCAGACGAAGCCTATATTGCCCATACCGAGCGTTTAAAAGCTCTTGAACGAGTCTTTGAGAAAGCTGCAGAAGAAGATAAACCAACTGAGGTGCATTAACTTTTCTTTAAAAGCTTTTAAGACCCATCGTTCATTTATATTTGAGGTCAACTACCATTTCTGGGGTATTTTTTCCAGGTGCCAGGTTATTTGTGTTGCAATATAACTCTTGAGATTTTCCGAGATCCTGTAATATCTCCAAGTGGGGTTACATATGAAAGAGCAGCAATCCTTGAACATCTCAAGAAGGTGGGCATTATCATCGTTCTTTCCTGTAGCGTTAATCTCTATATATTTTTTTTCTCATTCCTGTTAAGGTTTGATCGTTTACACTTAACATCACTTGATAGGTGGGGAAATTTGATCCGATAACGCGTGAAAAAATCGACCCGTCCAAGCTCGTTCCAAATCTGGCTATCAAAGAGGCAGTGGCTGCATATCTAGAAAAACACGTTTGGGCTTACAAGCTGGGTTGTTGATGCAAATGGGGATTAACAAAAACACAATGAAGCGGATGTGAAATTGAGGTTAACTAGTCAGGTGAGTGAACAAAACAGATGGGTGCGTTACCTTTTTCACTATTGTGTTTTTTTGGCTTGCCGATGTTTTCAGTGTAAGATTCTCTACCCTGTGTATATATACAATGTTTTTTGTGCACTCTGCACACATTGGCCATATGGCTTAGCCTATAACACATACAGAATTACAGACTTTGTTTATCATTGAGGAAAATCCAATAACAAACATACAGGCTCTGCCCTGTAGCTGTGAATTTCAGCCATAACATGGAGAAACATATTTTTATTTGTCCAGGTCAGCAACATCATGGATACACTAAACTTATTTTGGGTTATGAAATGCTTGAGTATTGTCTATATCTGTGTTAAAAGAATAGTGGTGAGGTTTATGGAGGCAATAATTTTATATTTTTTGTTTTGTTTTAAGTTTTGGTTTTGGGTTTCGGGATTTAGATGCAGTTCTCTGATGGTCAACAAGATTGATGCAGTATCTCATTAGGATTTAGTCCAAAACATGCCTATTGTTTAAACCTTCTTGGACCACTCCGGTTCTGTGCCCTGAAAATTTTTTGGATTGTGATTAATTACTCTAAACTAAAACTGAAAGTCCGAAAATTCAACAAAGAAACAAAAATTCTCATGCAATAGTGTAAAAATCAATTTTCGTTTGAATGTTCTGTGTTCATCAAACTTGAAAGAAAGCAAAAGCCAAGGGCAAGGGCCATCATAATGTATTCAAAAATATTGAATGAATTCTGCCTAATAAGCTGGATATCTTGGGTCTTTGAATAGAAAGAAAACTACGTATTTTCTTTATCTATATGATTTCCACTGGGGACACATAAACCCACCATCGTGGATTAATACGATTCTTTTTCTTTCTTTATGGGATTTCCTTTTTTTTGTATCCAATGAATTGTAAACGTTACTTCTTGGGGATAAAAAAGTTACAAAGCATCAAATTCTTTCTTTTCTTGGCTTTTCTGTGAAAGTTGGGTGAGGAATAACACCAAAGAGTGGTTTAGGACGAATCCATATTCTATCCTCTCTATTAAATATTCCAATTTTCCAACTTTCTCGAACTATTGACTTGTAATCATTACGAATCACGAGTTGTAGCAAATTCGTGATTCAATTCTAACTCCCAAGCAATCCAACCAACAAAATACATGTGATTTTTATCATTACTTACATGCCTTTTCTTGCCATGTCTAGAACATTTTTAGTATTAAAACTATTCCGTAATTTTTTCTAACACGACAAGAGGAATCACATCATCACGTTACATACATATAACAAAAAATCACATCAATGGAAAAACTCGTGACTCTCTACTCTAATTAAGTCTTTTTCCACAGAGAGTGGGAATAAGATTGATTTGCCTTGTGGATTATAAGTGATGTGAAGGACACGACATGACAGCCTTTCTATGTATTATAATAATGTACTTACATTTATACAAAGAACAAGACGAAAAGCTACACACTGTTACTTGTTGACCAAGGCGTTCACAGCTGAATAAAGCCACCAACGTTGATTTTTATTGATTGATTTGATTCTCCAGAAACAATCAAACGGAAAAAAACCTATTCACACAGATTTCTACTTACATCTCATATACGAAAACCATAAAATCATTCAGATCCTAAAGATACGAATCATTTACAAAAATTCTTAAAGCCAAAGAAAGTAAGTTAGAACAGGATTTTAGATAATTTACATTGCGGAATCCAAGGCTTCTCTCAGGCTGTATGAGTGAGATTCATAGCTTTTCTCAGTCTGTCCAAGATCCCATTTGCTTTCCTCTGTGCCCTTGAAGTTCCTTCACGCGAAAGCTTTGTTATCGTTCCATGAGCATTCTCCTCTTCTTTGATCTCCTTCCACTTTGTCCTGTCGCTGAAACATATAGTATGCAGTATCACTATCGCATTCTCTTTGTTTCGCTTGCACTCGCTCTCTCGAGTTATCTTCAGCAACCAAGAAACCCCACCGAGCTCACCCAATTCCTCCACAGCCTTCCAGTGAGTAACAAGCATTGCTAATATAGCTAAAAGCTCATCGACGTACAACCCATTTGAGATTTTCTTACCTAAAACCCTAACAGCTCCGTCTCTCACAGCTCTACTCCTGTTTTCATGAGCTATACAAAGAGTGAAGATCGCTGCAGCTACGTCTTTGATAGCTAACGGATTCCCTTCTTCTAGGAGATCAATAAGCGGTTTCAGGATTCCGGACTTCCCTATAAGTACTTTGTTCGAATCGAGTGCCGACAGAGTAAAGATCGCCGCAGCTGCATTGCTTCTCGTGGCTACCGTTCCACGCCTCAATGCATCGATAAGTAGAGGAATCACACAAGGATTTCGCAGACGAGCTTCTTGTTGCTGTCATCATGTATGGATATGTTCAACAATGTTGT